CACTCAGTACTTTGACATTTCTAATCCTAAAGGGTATTTAAGGATCTTACAAAGTTCTATGGGCTCTTTCACTTTATATTTTCAAATTTTCTCATTTTTATGTACAATCACTTATGGTATTGAAATGTTGTATTGCTTACTTACTAACAAACTCTGGAGGGACACTGACCTTTGAAAAGCTGCAGATAACTACTGACTGGTCAAGTACAGTGGCCTGAATCTCTGTGCCATAACGTGATCTATGCTGTTGAACTTGGAGAAATCCTTGAGAATTCCTGATCTGACCCATAGGAGCATGATGAAGCTATGATACTCATCTTTGCTGTAGAAAGGCTAAAGTCTACAACTACTGTCCAATGGAAGTATTACCATTATAAATAGAGCTGAAAAGTGTGTTTAATTGATTAAAAATGTATAGGAATTTATGTGAAATCATTTTTAATGTTGGTTTTCCATGGACTTGATTAGCCATCTGAATATATTTCAAGTGTAAGTGGTTGCTGAGTTATTGCAAACTGAATATAGAAAAGGCTTATTTGAGGAACTTGAAGAAGTGCAATGTCACAGTCAAGTTATTCCAAGCAGAACTTCATCAAAAATCTGTTTGCTTATGATAAGAACTTTCCTTCAGTCTCAGTCACTACTTTTTGGTCAAATTGGATTCAACACAGGCTCGTGTAACTTAGACACAAAACAAAAGTTGAAAAACAGGAAGAGTGCAAACCTCATAATTGAAACGAATAGCACTGATTATGTTTATTTGGAGAAATGTTTTCTGATTTGATCCCCTTGTTAGTTGTGTCCTCTACAGCACTGGAGAACAAGGTGATCGGGATCAAGGATGAGAAACAAATCTGACTTGGGGCTCAATTACTCAGGATTGAAAGCAGAAGAGAGAATTAATGCGGTCAAAGTACGTAGGAGGGAGACAGAGCAGTAATTTAAAGGCTCATGTATACACAAGAGGACTTAATTAAATAAGCTGTAAGGGGCATCATGGCTGCATGCAGATGGCTAATGCTGCCTTGAAAACACTTAGCATTCCAGAGGACAGCCTCACTGCACACCCTATTAGTGCTCTGTCAGTCCATTTCCAAATTCTGTCCCTAACAGTAAAACTCGGTGACTGATGGTAGCCTACTTCTGGCTTGTCTTGATGCCACTATAGCACAGAGCGTAAATTAGACACACAGCTTCTTATCAATTCCACTGACCTTGTTTCCTCAGTGTGTTACCCATCCACAGAACAATTGTAAAAAAATCAAAATAGGGAAATACATTTAATTACTGCAGACCCTTGTTTATGAGCCTGAATATGCTATGGAGCAGTGAATCCAGTGATAATGTTGGAGTTTGACAGAGTTACTTTCAGAAATTGGGAATAAAATGTTAATGATATCATTTGGAATATACTGTTAAGAGCTAAAGGGTCCTTACTGGCTGTCCCTACTAATGGGAGAACAGAAAGGAACAGTGCTGCAAAACAGAGATCAAAATTTCATGGGTAGATGTAGTAAAAGTGCTGCACGCTCGGTCAGCAGCTCCTCACATTTTTTTTTTCCTTCTTTTTTTGTTTGTAGATTAAAGTCTTTCAGTGTTTCTCTTCCAGTCAACCTGGTTAGTTCCTGCTCTGCATTTTATATCTTGAATACAGGTAGGGAGTGTGTGGGACAGAAGTGATCACAGAGATGTTTTATCTCACAAGTATCTCACACAAGTTTTATTCAACAGAGGAGTCTCGCATACTGTACACAGCACTGCCTTGTGCCAGGGATGAATATTTTTTGCCTATACACTCTGCTGAATAAGTGAAGACTGATGTCAGCTACCTCATCTTGTTTCATCAAATTATGTTTTGACAAAGAATTTCACATGCTGTTAAAAATCTTTGATGCTATGAGGGTGCATTAGACCCCACTGAATTGATTACTTGCACATCTGGGAAGGTCCCATCTATGATACATAATTTGTGGTGGCTCACAAAAGTGCAGCAACTGGTCTGTTCAGTTCAGATCTTTACAGCTGTGGTAAACAAGCCCTGTCTCAATTGCTTTAAAATGTCTTTTTCTCATCAAATTTATAAGTAACATTTTTTACAAGAAATGTTTCAATTTCAACATATGATATGGATGTCCTAAGTGCTCAGTACATAATTATTCAATGCTCACAAAATAGCCTATCATGTCAGAAAAAAAACAATTATACAGTTATTAATTATGTTTAAATAGTCATTATCATTACACACTTAGCAATCTGAGGCCACTAACCATTTACTCCACTTTCAGATTGTTAAAATTCAAATGTAATTAACTTCTCCACCAGCAAATTGAAAGCTGTATTAACCAGCTCATTGATGATTAAATTGTGGGACATTTGTGTTAGACATAACAGAGCCATGTTTCTATAAAACCTCTTATTGGTGCTTATCTTCCTAGATTTTGTACAAGCACAGTTCATGGAGGGTCAATACAATGATTCTTTAAAGTTATGGGCACCAAAATAAATATATGTCAAGGAAAGAAAAAAACAACAACATATTGCTCGTTATTGATTGTTTTCTCCAAAATGAGAGAATATCAAGTTTTTAGTTGGTCAAGATCAAATCTGATATCTAGTTTGTAACGTACATTTTTCATTGAAACATTAACTCATGTATTCCACATTGTCTCTTAGTCTTCTCTTATAGGCAGAAAATAACATGCGATGGTATGAAAGTTTTTTTTTCTTGCGTCTCAGATCAATGTCACAGTATCTACATTCCAATATGTTTAAAACTAACTGTTTCCAAGTAACTGGTAAAACTGTAATCTGAAACAATAAGTGGGTGTTTAACCTCTACTGTGAATTAAATATAATCGGTTTAGCTAATTCCACCGAAGTTGACATTTGTGTGCCTTACATCTTCATTTTCTTCTCTTCATCTGTCGTATGCAAAAGTCAGAACGGTTACTGAAACATTGCTGTGAAGAATTTCAGAAACTTGGTAAGTAAATTGGAAAAGGCAGTGAAAATCAACACAAGAATTATGGTTGTGTTTATTGCTGGCTTTGCACTAAGCCTAACTATTTTTCCTTGCTCATATTAGTCTAATTATCTTTGTCCGTGTTCTGCTTTAGATTTAGAACCATGTAGGCCTCTTCTTTTGAATATCCCTGCTAAAAGCTTGAACTTCAGGTAAAATACAATGTTTGGTAAATCTAAAAATCAATATCAGACAGAAAGAAATTGGATTATAAGATCAGCCTGTGTGAAAGATATAAGTTCACACAAAATATCTTTTTGAAATTATTCGCTGAATAAAAACAAGGAGCTTGCTGTTTTCCCTTCAATGAAAGTTGATAATTCCCTTTTGATTTGGCCAAAATAGCACATCTTAAACATTTTACCTGAATGGGTTGTCAGGTTCTTGCCTCTATGATGCGAGTTGGAACAGGCAACAAACTGTATCGACCATGCTGGTAAACTGCAGGCTGTTAATTATAAAGAGCTCTGCTTGGCACACTATTGAAATGAATTATCTGCACATAGATCAGGCCAGTTTTTGAATACCATTTACATCACTGGACTTTTGTATCACCATATCAATAACCACGTAAATAATAATGAAATCATAGCAATGGCTCTAAATCCTACTCTTCCTGTTCAAATCTAGCAAACAAATAAACTGATTAATAACAAACACAAGCCCATTCATTTCCAACAACAGTCTTTTCTTAAACTAAGATGTCAAATTGTATTACATACAACATAATTAACCATCCACCAGGAGTCATACACACACACATTCACACACAACACGCACACAAAGAGCTTTGACAACCTCAAACAAGACTTAATTGTTTTGGTGCTCAATTTTGTTCAAGCACTGTCCAAGGGGCTGCTTTCGACTGGCATGCCGGTGTCATTAAATGTCATGCTGGTTCTATCTTATAGACTTTTCTTTGGCACTCTGCTTCTAGGTGCAACAATGTTGTCCTCAGTGCTGTCTGTGCAAGAAGCAATGGCGGTACGACAGTGTTAATTTAGAATGTGTGAAATGTAAAGAGTTCAGAGATGACACAGCACTCCATGAGGGATTTTCTCATGTATCCACTTTGATCAAGCTGTTCTAGAGATCATCACGTAATAATGGGAGGTATATGTGTCACAAATCAAAGCTAAATCACATTTACATCTACATACCTACAAAATATGCATTAACAACCTCAGATGAACAATAGCAATTGTTCAACATATATTGGTAAGTGGGAGCACGTCCACAAAAAAAGCATTTTGTCAGTTTGCTGGTCCATAGCAGGTGAAAGCTAACACAATGCCCAATAGGAGAGACGTCAACAATTTTTTAAATTAAAAAGTTCTAAGTTACATTCCAAACCAAGTTCAAGCCCATCATTCTACAGAAAAGTAAAGAAGAGTAAAGAAAGAGTATTGACGTGTGGAAAACATTAAAGTCAGCTGTCAATCATCTCAGGAATGGATGTACCTGCAAGGTCAGACCATGAAATGTTCAGAGAAATTGCTTAAAAGAAAAAAACAAAGAGCAGTGGTTCAGACTCTAGGGTCACCAGTCAGCATGTTAAACATAAACATTTATGAAAATAGAATTTACTAAAAAAACTATGTGTTGTTTGCAAGTGTTGGAAGTTAGGATTTAGCTTTGTAAAATATTTCTGGAAAAATGTCATCAGCACAGATAAGAGCAATGAGGGTATGTTGGGTCAAAATGGACTGCACCACATGTGGTTAAAACCAAACTTATCATATGTGCACAAGCACCTTTGATGGATTGGGGGTTGCTTTTAAATGCCTTGATTTGACCACAAACTCATCAGCATGTAACCAGAGTCAAAGAGACCACCCACCTCTCCAACATTTTTCAATAAGTGGTTTAATATCGTAACTTTGCTTTAGCTAACAACACAGCAAGACCTTGCAAACGTTGCTTTAACAAAACTATGAAGAATTGTAAAACTTCCACATCACATAATTCCATTCCTTACCATGGCGAGTGGCACGATGCCACCCAAGTCCTGTGGCGCCAGGCGGATGAGGGTCTGCACCTCACTGGTCAGAGTACGGGTGAGCGGGTATTCCACCTGCCATGTCACCTCCCTTCCCCCGTGAGTCATCATCAAACCGTTGACTTCCAGATCAACCTGTAGCACTCGCTGGTAGCCCGCTCCCTCAGCCCTGCAAAGCAGAGAGGGAGAAAAATCTGTGTCAGGAGTGGATTTAGGCAGAGCAATAAATTGAGGCACTGACAAAGACCCCGTGAATAAGACAAGACAGTCAAATGCTTTATTTATGTGCTGTGGATTTGCTCTCACACACAGAAACCAGCCCTGTCAAAACCCAGGAAGGAATAACTACTGCAAACATTCCAAATAAAGCAGTGGTGCTGAAATTCTGCGGTTGTGTTTGATCATACATTATTGTACTTCCTAACATCTACTGTTGAAGAAAGAAACAGCAGGGAGTCCAGAGTGCCTGGTTTCTATAATCAGTGGCTGTGGCCAAGAGTTGCTGTTGTGACATATCAATAATGATGTGTCACGACATCCAGAGGTTGACACTATGACTAGTGTGGCATGTGTAATTATTACAGCCTAAGTCTGGCATCAAAAAGATGGGGAGGGAAGGTGAACAGTAAATAAAGGGAACACAAATCAAGCAGCTAAGGAGGAAGGAGCGATTGGTCGAGAAAGACAAAGAAAGGTAAGACAGTAAAACGTTTGTGTCAAACAATGTTGGTCTGGATTCTAATTTGTGAGGACAAACTATGCATCCCATTTCATTTAGGAGCAGAATATTGTTCCTTATCATTTAATGTAGATGCTGTATGGAGTAAGCCATATTCTCAAATATTTGGACATCATATACTTGATTTAATATTTTCATTCTCAGATCCTCCTAAAGCCCTCATGTTGGCAAAAAAAAAGCAATTTATTTTGTGACTGCGACGTTCAGCGTCTGTTGCGAAGATTGCCAGTTCCAAACAAATGATTTTCCTTCAGCTGATGGAGATGCAAACAAAGCAGAAAAACAATGAATGCAAAATAATATCATGCAAACGTTTTTGATGCGCTGAGCGCTGGGTTTGATCATGCTGCTGCCTTTCCCTTAGGTGTCACAGTCAAAATGAAGTGAAACACCTTCCCCAGTAACCGCTCACACACTGTTTTGAACATTACAATTTATAGTTTGGGATCGAGAAGTGGCTCACAGAAGTAAACATTAACACTGAAGAAGAGAGCTGCTTTTGAATGAGACAAACAACAAACAGCTTTCAAAATTCAAATATGATTAATGCCATTTGAATAATGAACAACACAAGGACAAATTTTCGGGAAAGCTATTCAGGAAGTATTCCATTCGGTTGAAATTTTTGTCCTAAATTGTATTTTCATTGTTTCTATGTCAAACAATCCAAACATGCATGGAGAGTGGAAACTGTAAGAGAATTCATGGTTTTCCTTTAACATGTCTTAGGAAAGCTTGCGTTTAAGACTTCCCCAACTCCCCCGTATGTTCCCACTTCAGACACTAGCCCCACTTCAAAGTGCATATTTAAGGCTGCACAGTTAGTAAAAATAAAAAAAAGGGTAAGGAAGAACAGAAATGGTTGCTGAAAATCAGTGTGGTTGGTGCAAATAGCGATTCTAGGTCAGTAAGAAAAGCCTTTTAGTTTCAGTTGTTAATGCCCAATGTGTTTGCAAATAACCATGAGGAGCTTTGGCTTTCAGAGTTCACAGTGGAATGGTGGAATTAATTCAGTCACAAAGTGCACACCATCGTGGTATAATTCTGCTTGACCACTGAAAGGTGTTCTACAGGTAAACCAATGTGCACATTTGTGGTAGTTTTGATAGAAATAGCACAAGTGAATTTTACTCAATATCACTCTCACATAATTTCTTCCAAAACAATACGTGGATAAAGACAGTCTTCCTAAACCATATTTTTCTTTAGATCTAAAGAAAAAAAATCATGCTGAATTGTTCATTGCTGAATTGCTCATTGTTAACAAATCCTCTTAACTCATCAGTGGGTTCATGCCGCTAATATGGAGCTTTATCCACTGTGCAATAAAATACAATAGTTTCTGGGGGGAAAAAAAACAAAAAAATGCAAAAGTGAGTGTTTTTTTTTAACAGTTTTTTTAATTTATTATTACAGTGGACATAAACTGTCCTGGTGAGCTGAGTGCTACAGCCCAGTACCACATTGTAGAGTAATAGTGCACTACAGCATGGTTCTCCAACCATTGGGTCACCAAATGATAGAGACTTTGTACCAGGATGTGGGGAGTGCAAAATAAGATAAATGTCTTGATGGGACTGTCTTTTTGAAGGGAAAAGCTCAAGGCTGCAACAGTTTTAGTTTGGAATAACTTTGGCAGCCTCCTTAGAACTGTGAGATCTTTCTATCTTTTTAGACTACAAAATCCAAAAACCTTTCGAAGAAAATTAAATTTTCTGACACCTAAATTTCAGTATGTACCCTCAACAAAATCAAAGACAGATCCAGAGATTTCTGTTTCTCCAGAGCAAAGATTTTTGGGCTAATTTGTCCTAAGAAATGCATTACTTTATCTAAAGTTCCCTTCATTTTTTCAGAGATTTCGAAACCTCATCATCTATTGTCATATAGATTATGAACTTTGTTTACCTCAAAGGCCTCTATAATGAGAAGAAGCCTAAATATATTTGTCTGATGACCATTGGTTGGATGAGAAAGTTTGACAGCATTAATCACTGATGACTATCGGCAGGAAACGGGAATGGGACGCTAATGGGGACATCAACAAAATGAACTGTTGGTGTAAAAGTGCTTGCTAACATCAGAAGTCCTAAATGCAAAAAAAAACTAGTCCAACTTTTGTTATAGCGTTTACACAAATGAAATCCTGCTTTCATCCGGAAAACGCATTGCCAATTTCCCAGGTCATTTTCAATTGTTTTGCTCGTTTCTTTCTGGAGTCAAACAAAGCCAAAAAGACAACATGTTTAAAGAAAGACAAAGGAGGGAGATAAACTGCTGAGAAACATCTTACAAAACCTATGCTCATCTATTTACCTCGAAACAGATTTGTTGACAGTCCCTAGCATCATTTTGCTTGAGGCAAACCATCTTTTGATACATTTTTGAGAGCTGTCAAATCAATAATCTTTGAACATTATTGTTTTTCCCTACATACAAAGTATGTAGTTGAACAAAATTTTGTTTCTTGCAGGATCTTAGTCCAATAGATAAAGTGTTGCAGTGCAACAACTACGCACCACGCTGGTCTTAGGGATCCTGATTGCAGTGATTATGTAGTTTAGGATCATTGTGAACAAGTACAGCCAAATCAGTTATTTGCAACAGCCTGTCATCGTGATTCAAATAGAGGCTGCAAACAATTAGAACTTAATTGCTGAACAGCACAATGCAACTATGTTTCTTCTTTATTTAATCTGTCTTTCTCTTTCTTTATTCTGTTTTCCCAACCAGCTCGTTGACGTTTCCACCTGCTGACTTGCAATGCTCTGTTGCTCTCAATAGAGGGCACTACACTCTGTTCCTCCTCAGCACTTCATCCAGCATCCCTTTGTGAGGATGAATGCCTTACAGCTCACCTGCTACATGGGTCGCACTGCTTCCGCATGTCTGACTAGAAAGTTTTTTTGTGCGATTAGCATACACACACTCACACACACACATACACACACACACTCAAACGTGGGGTTCAACAGCTAAGAGTCGACTAGGATCCCATAACTGGCTGAGACACAGGAGAAATAATCTAACAGTAACAATGCCTTGGTTTATCAGTATTTTTTTTCAAGGGTGGGATGAAATTAGGTATAAAATCCTGCCATTTTAATGAAGCTTTGGAGTTATCTTCACTTGTCAGTTTAATTTTGGGATAGAAAAGCACAAAGAGAACAAGGTAAAAATCCACTCAAGAGGAAAGAAATGCTCATACTTTAAGATACATTTCAAACACTCCCTTGAAGCAACAAAAAGTCTCTGAGCAGCATGATAGGGAAAAAGGGTGACATAAATTACATTCATTTTGTTTGAAGCGAGGAAAGCATCATTAGAGCGAGGAAACACGTATGCACTGTTCACCCAACAGTCATGTTTTCTCTTTCCAATCTTAACAAATCAGAGGATATCTGGATGGGCTGCTGTCTCTAATGGGGACCTGAGGGGGCTCTGATCATGTTCTGCAATGATTTGGTTAGCATCCAAAAAACAAAAATATGAATCTATATTGACATGTACAACTGACATTGTGTCCAATAATTTAGGAAGAGTTTGCATGAGTTCATGTGCATACGATTAATAAGCACAATAAATCAATTTGACCAGAGTAAAAATTTTGTTTTGTTTTGTTGTCAGTATTAGAGCTTGCTGTCTCTGGCAGGAAAAGAGCAGGCCGTGTCAGGATGTGTTGTGTGCTGAGGTTTTTGTGTGGGAGTTCTTGCTGCAAATGAGATTCTGTTTGTTTGATAGGCTGTAGATGGGATGTTTGTATTTATGAGCCAGCAAACACAATGTCCAGCATGTCTCCATGTTGACTGAGCTTCTGACCAACAGGAGAGCAGGACATCTGCTTGGAAATGCATTCCAAGGAGGATATGATAGCCAGTCCTGCTGGCAACAGGAAAATAGTAGCAGATGGAGAAATTGTGTCGACACAAGTAGACACAGCTGTCTCGGCCATAATTGAATCCTGACATGTGAGACCAGCAGTCATTCAAAAGAAGAAGGTGTGATGACAGGCAGGATGAACAACTGCTACTGTCCATCTGCCTTTGCATAAAGACTCATATCCTGCTTTTATTTATCTCCCATGTCTTAGCCATATCATCTAGTTTAAGACACAATGTTTCTGCATTCGCTGGTATTAATTTCTTTATAAAAATGCAAACATTTAGTGCTGACCATCTTTTTTAATAGTTTGTAAATAGTTAGCACACGCAAAAATGAATGGTAATGAAGTACATAACCTTTTCACCTCTTTACTGTGAAATAAACTGATTTTTTCTTTGTCATTATTTGTTATTATTTGTCATTTCACTCGAAAAATGATAATCAGAATGGATCAGAAATGAATAAAGCAGAAATTACGCTTAATGGTAGAAGTATGAAGTGAGACAAAAGTAATACCAAGTCACTGATTTTCTTCTTCCTTCAGATA